TAGTTGATATTTTCATCTGAATGTATGTAAAATGTGCAGTCATTCAGAACGTAAGATGTAATGTGAATAGACAACTGGGTGACATGCTAATGTATTTATAATTCAAATGAATTGTGATCAAGATTTTACCGAGTAGTTCTAGTTTGCTGGACGAAACGTTGGAATTACTCATTTAAATTTCACTGGGATCTTACAAATATAAGTTCTACATATGTAATGTATTTATAGTCAACAGAATATAAGTTTTGTTGGGGTTGGGTGGGTGGTGAGGATGAGTTATATTCATTGGTGTGACTGGAATATGAATACCACAAATTACATTCAAACAAATATCAAGATATAGGGAATACCGAATGTAAGTTCAAGGGCCCACAGATGTCGAATGTAGTGATAAAATAGAGTTTCAATTTAAACTGTATTGAAATACTGGAGACGTGATAAGCTTAGTGTAGATCACCAAGTTTGACACATAATAAGGATAATAATGTAGTGAAGTGAACCAGGTGATGAAAAGAAATAAGAAAGACATAATTTTGCATGAAAATATGGATGATTATGTCCCTACTGACCTGATGGTAGACCAGGGTAAACAAGTAGGACGAAATCGCTCTTAGGAACATATAGATCAGATTTCTCCTCATAAATCTTCATGGCTTCAGTTTATATCTAACAGACACCAACTTGTGCCTTTAGGCAAATTGCTTAGAACTCGATATACAACTGTGAATGACTCATCCATTTTGATGCGGTATTCACTATCCACTAGGTTAGACGAAATGGTACTATTTATTGATTTGGTTACACTTTATCCAAGCTATACAGGAACGTGTTTACGAGTGCGTGAAGATAAATGACTTTGTGTTCGATCTATGTAACTAGCACTGCATGAGCAGTAGAATTTGTATACACACACTGATGTGGCCATCTTTTGTAATTTATATTTGTGTCAGTATCATGCTGGTTGAGAGACTGATGTGTAGTTCTGCAGCAGTGATAGTTCTCTCAATTGGTTTGATCAAACTACGCCTTAGTACATGGCTGGATATATCACCTTTGCACTGCGTCCTTACATAAACCTTTTTCTTATTCACTGTTTCACGCCTAATTTTGTCAGTTCTCTTGGAAATGTACTTTTTTACAAACTGGTAGCAGGGTATTTTTAAGATTTTTGATTTCATTTTCAATACAGTCCGCAGTACATATGCGCCTTATTCAATGACTAAGACAGAGAATCAAATTTCACGTATGATATATGGATGTGTAACTAAGATATGAATACAACGTCCTTTCCACGTCGCTTTCTGTAGATATTTTACTTTAACGTTCCTTTTTAACTTTTTGATTTACAGGGTCATCCAAGAAATGTACAGTTTCTGATGTAATTTTCACTTGCCTTAACAAGATATCAGTATTCTAATATTCATAGATTTATAAATGTAGAGCCTGAGGAGGAAGTTGTCGAAGACAATTGTTCGCTCAAAACCATCTTGTTCAAAATCAGTATAATCAATCAGTGAAATTAACGGGATGAGAGATGAAGGCGAATCACAAGTGTGTTCTAATATATAGATTTATAAGTGAAATATACTTTTACCATGGGCTACACGAATTTTTTTAGTGGGGTTAGGAGAAGAAATGATTTTCTGCCGTTGCTTGATTTAGGAACTAAAGAAATAGTTAGATTCTGTTTACGTCATTCGCATATTTGTTATCACGTTAACATTACCATGTTAAACTTCTGTTACTTCCTTCGTCTTTCCAAAACGTGAAGTGAAATAGGAGTTCAAGAGGTTGTATCATGCTTTTCCCCATTCATAAGTTAACATTTACTGTTAGTTTTTGTTGCGTGAAAGCTAGTACATTGTGGTTTTTGAAAGAAATATTAAAAATATTTTATGAGTTGTTTTGAGAGTTCGCATACTTAGCGAGCAAATTCTTTTTAACTTGACAGAAAACAATAAGGAAGTCTATGAACATCAGGACAAAAGTTCTGTGTCACAGTAGCAGGCATGGATTACTTCTTGATTTATTCGTTCTCCTGTCACGTATCTTCTCCTTAAAATATAGCGTTGAATTCATTCTTATAACTGGCAAGTCTTACATTAGCTAGTAGATTCTATGTTACTTCGATTTAATTGACGATGGTCAAAGGTGGTCAATAGAAATTTCGAACCAAATTATTATAATTCTTAGCACCCATGAAAACGTTGTTTTTCTCTGAACCTACAGAAAATTTCTACTTCTTTCTAAGATGAGGACCTGTGACATGTTTTGATAACCTAAACTACTGAGACGAAGCCAACCTCTTACATAAGGTGATGTGATTTATATGACTTTAAGTAATAAAGCTCCTTGGTCACCAACTTAAAAGACACAAAATCAATGGGCATTGCACAGCATTTTGCTTTCACAAACATTGTATTCGAAATAAGCTGTGGAACTAAAAGAGGTAACTTTCACTTGCACTACCAAAACTGTTATTATACTTCTTCACTAGCGACGGCCTGATTGAATTTTGGGCTACCACAAAACACCATTTTCTATCACCATTTATTTTTTGCCCCGATTTGTCCCTATATTTTTGTTTTGATCAATTACAAGTGTCTTCAAATAGTATGATTCATAATCGCGTATTTTTAAAATCTTTCAACCTATGGTGCTGAGTTATACTGACAAGTTGAGGAGAAATATCAAGGTGGTTGACAGTGTGCATTTAAAGGTGCAGAAATTGATCATATGACAGTCACCGATGTTGTTAGCACTAACTGCAGGTTTCTGCCTAACAAAGTGGACTATCTTCAATCTCTAATATCCTCAAATATTTATCTAACTGCCGGTGTTTTTGCTATACAAGAGACTTGGCTCCACCAGAAATATGACAACAATCTAATCTCATTAAATGGATGTGAAATGTTTCGTCAGAACAGACTTAGTTGTTCAAAGAAAAAGCATGGCGGAGGGGTAACCACTTTTATTAATACAAACTGGTCTGCATCTAATCATGTATGTTTTAAGATTTCCAATGACAGTATCAACTATATCACTGTTAGGTGTCGTCCAAAACTCTTAAGTAAATATTCCTATGTATATCTATATACATAATGTTTATATTCCTGCAGACTGCAGTCCCCCCGATATATTTATCTTTGCTGAATTTTCTGCTCCTAATTTTGAGAAATTCTCGTCAGTAGTTTGTAGGAACTTTAATTCTTGCGATCAAAGCTTTCTTATATCACTTGGTCAAGAAGATATTGTCATATTCAATACTCAAATGGATAAAACCCTTGACTTGGATTTTACAAGTGATCGTGACATTAACGAGTTGTGAAGGAGAACTCCACTGCTGAATTTCGATTACTGCATTATTCTTGTTTTACTGAAAGTGTATGGCAAGTTACACTGAAGGGCCTTTGTTCACCTAACAAATAAAATTCAAGAACGATCCTATTCACGCGACAATATTCCTGCACCAAGATGTATGTTGCATTATATTGACTGGGACCTATACTTTGATGAAATATCAGACGTTACTATTAGTAATATCACATCCTATCTGAAGTTCTGTGGGGACATTTCCTGTCCTACCGAAACAGTGTTCACGAGATTCGATAGGATCTGTTCTGTATTAATTAAATGGTCATGCAAGTGTTTGAACATTAGACTCTGTGATAACGTCTGAAATACAAAGACTAAATGAGATGCATAATGAAGAGCTTTTGTCGTGAAAGAATGCTCCTAGCATCTGGAAACGTTTTAATCAGCTGACTAGCAGAAAATAAATTTCAGCTGATACGTGTCCTGCTGGAAAAGTCTTAAATCGACCTCTTATAATGCAACAGGCAAATATCACCGAACCTGATGTTTGTATTTACGTTAATGATCATTCCCCTGGTTTTAATGAAAAGGATGTATTTTCATGTCTCAAATGCTTAAATCCATCGCACAGCATAGGACCAGATGGTGAACCAAGCATTTTATTCCAAAAGTGGGCTGACAGTTTGTGTTGTTCTCTTAATTAGACATTGAATGCATCGTTTCACAGGGACAGAGCGCCTGTTGCCTGGAACGAAGTAAAGGTGGAACCTGTACCAAAGTCATTTTCTGGATCAGGTATGAATTTTAGGCCAGTCACTATCATGTCTCCATTTTTGAAAACAATGGGGAAACTTTTCTTGCATGTTCTTAAACTATCTGTGAAATCTTTTAATAACCCAAATCAGCATGCTAAAAAATACAGTAGAATCACGTTAGACTCTGTTGTTGTACTCCACCACAATAATGTATAAAGTCTTGATAAAGGCTAAAAGTTTGTTCGAGCCTCCTTTTTAGACTACACTGTTATTTTTGACCCTATTCTCGGGGCACTTTTACCAAGCAAGCTGATTTCAGCAAACACTGGGTCTTGGGTTACAAGGTGGCTGTCTTCTTATTTTCCGGGTAGAAAACAATATACTGTTTTGGATGGAAAGTGCTCCACTTCATTGTATAGGAAACTGGTGTGCCTTAGGCCGCTGTACTCTCTCCATTCTTTTTACCTTTCTTTTTACATGACCTTCCATATTCTTCAAAAGCAAACTTCATTAAACATTACAATGATCTAACCATTTCTGTCCCAGTAGTTTATGCTTGGTATTGTTCCTATATAAAGAGATTCTTATGTGAAGTTAACGAATGATCTCTTGAACTGAATCCCTTTAAATGTCAAACTGCTTGTTGATTTTAGTTTCAGATGCAAGCAAGACTTGCATCGACTGGCTGATTTAGTCGCACGATTCTTGTAATATTGACGGCATTGTAATGATAGGGCGTAAGTCGAATATCTCTCATCTCTTCGAATTTCTGTCGGTCGTCTCATATCTTGTTAATTTCTAAGAAACTTTTACGTTTGACTTGGTACACAATAATGAAATGGAAACTTTCTGCTAGCATGACTCAACCTCTTCTCTTACACTTTATTAATTCATGTATTCTGCTCATTCTCCTGTATTGGTCGCCATTATTCTTCATTGAACTTCCTAAATGAGATTATGTCATGCATGTTATGTAGAACATTGAAGACTGTAAGTGGGGTAATGGTGTGCCATTGACTCAACTAACTGACATTAATGTCGATAGGCACTTCAGTTCTTGCAAGCAATTTCGGCTAAACTTATCTTTTCTGATACTGAACATCCTTTCTATTCTCAATGTTTGCTTTCTTCAAGTAAAGCCAGAAGAAACTTCATAAGACGTTTCTGCTAGTACAACTGAATAAAAGAATTCCACCATACCATATTTAGCACGGGAGGTTGTGTGTGAAGAGAGAGAGAGTCAGATGTCCGAAAAGAACATGTAAACTTTTTAAATCAGTAATAGTGAACTGCAAAGTAAAAGCAAAGTTATTATTATTATTATTCCATGTATTATCTATGATACTATCTACTTATACTTCATTATGTTTCCCGCAACATTCTGTTTATTGTGGTGGTTTCATTATTATTAGTATTATCATTATTACTATTTTAAATTTTTATGTATGTACACATTTATAAAAGGAGCTAAATTATTACAAACGCTGAAAATTTCATACTGTGTAATGATTACTATTTGGAATAAAGTGATTATTGTTATCTTTATAAAAGGTGATGATGATTAATGGGGCACTCAAACCACAATTAATAAGGGGTAAACCGATTTTTTTTCATATGGTTTTGTTTGCAGCCAGGAAATGTAAGAAAATTGATGTTTTATGTTTGATTTCCAGTTTTATTTGATTCTTAAGTCTTTTAGATGTTAATGAAAGCCAATTTTAATTACGTTTGAAATGCAAGCCTTGTAGTTAAGATACTTATATCTAATGAAAGCTCAATGGAGATACATTAACAACTGGAATCCAGGTTAATGATATTTTGTATTAATTAAAGGTTCTACCCAAGGGCTACTTCGAAGTGAAGACCGGAGTAAGACAAGTCTGCCTACCATCTCAAATGATTCTCTTGATTGCGGTAGACTGGATAATGCGACAGACAGAAAATGAGCAACGAGGAGACAGGCATAAAATGGACCCGCACAAAAAAACTTGGAGGATCTGGATTTCGCCGATGATGTCAGATTTGCCACAAACTGGAAGATATGCGAGTGAAAAGCAACACGTTGGCAGAAGAAGCATCCATAGAAGATAAGACTTTAGGTGAATATAGAGGAAACAGAGTTGATGAAGATTCATGGCCAACAGCAACAGCAAAAACAACAGACAACAATCAGACAGCAAAAATGGGAGAAATCTGAAAGAAGCTACCTCCGTCACCTACCTGGGAAGTTTTGTTTCAACTACAGGTTGAACTGAGGAGGATATCAAAGCGAGGATCCGGAAAGCAAGGCAAGCTTTCACTATTCTCAAGTCTGTGTGAAGATCAACAGCACTCAGAATGCAAAATAAGATGCGGATTTTCAACTCCAATGTGAAGTCAGTGCTACAATTAGGATCAGAGACTTGGCACCTCGTCATAAAGAGCATCTCAAACAAACTAAAGACCTTCATTAACAGTTGTCTTCGCTCAATACTCAAGATCAGATGGCTGACCAGAAAAGATCAGCAACAGGAAAGGAAACCTGGGAGTGAATCAACCCAGCAGGAACCAACTGTGCAACAAATCTGCAGGAAGAAATGGAGGTGGGTTGTCCATATTCTGAGAAAACAAACCATCAAGTGATATCACACGCAAGGCCATCGATCGAATGTAACCCAAATGGGAAGCGGCGAGTTTGTCGCCACTGCAAGGATGACATGTAGGAGGAGGTCATGTGAAGAGGAGATGAAAGCATATGGGCAGACGCGGAGCCAGGTGAAAACGTTGGCAGAGAACCGAACGCAGTGAAAACGTGAGGCTGAAGTCGTATGTTCCTCTAGGAATTAAAGGAAACAATAATATAATACAATAATAATAACCCAAAGGCTGATAACATTATAATAACAACTCATTCTCTTTTGTTACAGACTTATACGCTAGAAGATACTGTGAGTATATGTTTTGTTTAGAACAATTAAACGACATCATATTATTGGCAATATTCGCTTATTCAAATAATTCCCTGTTGATTTCAGTAGGCCAATTTTTGACGCTTCTTTGAAATTCCCAGAATTTTTTCATCACAAGTGATCGACTCAGGTGATAAATTGTTAAGCATATTCACACTTAAGCATTCACTATGCACAGATCTACACTTCAGTTGGTGAATGTATTTCAACGCTTAAAGTTTGAAAAATAGGATGGATTGAAGCTTCTTTCATTATCATTTCGCAAAGTATTCTTTATGTGGTTGATTTATTTCGGTTAACTAGTTGGCTATAAATATTTCAAAAGAATGGTTACTGAACAAATAATACTCTTTTCGATAATTTCATCATCAGGCTCTACAGTTATATATACACAATAGTAGTGAATGAATGAATTAGTGTTATGAACAACATTAATGTTGTTTAAATAACATCGAATCAATAATATCAATAAATTACAGTTCAATAGCATCAACATAACAATGGACTGAATGTCAGAAAAATGAGGAAAGATAATCTTACAAGTTCATGAATTTGTAGTCTCTACTGAAGGTCAGGGCACTAGTAGTAGTAGTGGGCTGGACTTGCCTCTTTTGCACACAAAGCACTGTTTGTTTCACGTGAATTGCGATAGCCTCTGTTGTTTGAAGCTTGCGGTGCTTCGATGTTTTCGGCAGTTTATTTGGTACGCGGTAGATGATAGAGAAGGATTCTTCAATGCTGGCTTTAGAACCCGTTTGGACCAGGTGGTTTCATATCGAACTGTTGATATTATTATTCTCAATCTAATATTTATCTCTCCGCCTTTATTTTCAATTCAGGTTCTGGATTATGCTCACGATGTTAGTAAACAGAAATGTTTAAATTTGTTTAAAGAGAAAAATAAGTTGTTTAATCTGAAAAGATAATTAAGGAGGATTTGAATCCTGTGACCTCATTTTAGTACCCTTAATTTAATAGCATCATTCAATCATTCTTCAAACTTGCCTTGAATTAAAAAAATTACGAAAACAGTTTCTGCATCATAGATTGTCCCTCCATGAAGACTTTGATGACCTTGTTTCTCAAAACACCATCATTTCCTGTGATACATATACATCGAGCTAATAAATCTGAAGTAGAATCTCACTGAAGGCCTTAATCCACAGAAAGTTCAGTCTTGTTTTCTTTTGTTATACAAAATGAAAAGGCTTTTTTATCCGTACTTGTTAACGATAGAATGAATATCTTGAAATTCTTCGTTTGCCTTCAGAAATACTGTTGTAGTAGCATCTCAGTTGATTGATTATCGTGACGACTAAAGATGGCTAATTTCCATTTGTTAACATGATGAAACAATTGATGAGCTAACTTGAAATACTAATTATGAAATTTTGTAAATGTTAATGATCATAGAAACTCTATGAAATTCAAAATCGAGGACAACATCCAGTTGATTTTCTTTGTTGTCATACTTTACGACTGTTCAGCAGTTCTAATTTTCCATCTCTCTGGTAATTGAATCTAGGCCCTGTGAATTACGAGGCCAGCTTATTGACTATTAAGTTACTGAGCTGCAGTCCAACGGTTTGATGCGACTGGCAATCAATGCCACTGATGAGCATTAATCGAAATTCCCACAGACTCAAAATCTAAATTTTAATCTTCTAATTCATGGTGTATAAACCATAAATGGTAATAGGCATTTCTGTTTGTTTTGGAAGTTTTAATGTGAACTGACGTGTAGCTTTCACATAAGCTTTCCTCTTTTATATCAGAAAAAACTGATAAAACTGAAGTGAATGTGAGGGATCGAGTAGAGTTACTTTCTCCCTGGAACCAGCTTATCTTTAGATAAAGCAATGTCTTCATTACTTACGACATCCCTTCGATTAAAAGAAAACGTTTAAGCTATCTGAGCTGATATCACTTATGTATGACACCGTTTCACAGATATTCTTAATTACTCCTATTGAATTCGTATTATTTATCAGGAAACTAAAGTTCTGTTGTTTCATGAAGTCACTGTAATAATTTTAAAATGAATATCTTTTCTCCACTCTATTATAATGAAGCTGGTGCACAAACCTTTTACTGTAAGCCCCTTAATAAAATGTAAATTGCATTTATTGAAGTGCTACTGAACTTTTAAGCGTTTTTCCACCTGACTGTTACATGTACAATGATTGTTTAAACTCCCTCATTCCCTAAGGTTATCACAATTTCAGGAAATTCAAAGTCTAAAGGTTATTTGTTTTAATTTTCAGGAGATGATTCCTCTTTATTCTTCCTTACAATAATTACTGATATTTCACCAGACTGACAGTTATATAAATTTAGAAATGCGTTCACGGATTCTCCTTAATGAATGTAAATAGAGCAATGATAACAGCAATACATGAGGTCAGATGAGATGGATCCATTGTTTATCTTGTCAGTGTCTCATGAACTGCTGACAACCAGAATAATGAAAGTTTTATTGCAATTCCAGCATACATCAAGTCTTTGGAGATCAGATGTGGAACAAAAAGCATGATCACAATTTATACATTAATCTAAATGTTGAATTGTTAAAATGTGAAATTGCTGCTGTACTTAAGTATGTAATCTGATCGAAATTTCTCGAATAGAACATAAAACGTGAAAAGGAATGGTAGTGACAAGATAATGAGGGGCAAAAATTATAAGATTACGAAAGTCATTAGAAAGTTGTTCATACATAAACGAAATGCAAAAAAAGCATATTGTGAGTTGGACGCATTTAGTTAGACATCAGATGTATGAAGCATGACGCCTAATAAATGATGATGTAATTTAGTACTAGTGTAAAGTGGTCGACATTTAAATTAAATAAAAGATATGGTAATCAGTTAAGGTTAAAAGACTAGTTACTAAGATGGAGACAGACTTTCTACGGTTTCTTTTTGAATACATAGGACAAGTTTTAGCCGTTTGATAGCGCAAGCCTCTGTGAACTATAACAGACCCAAGTTTGCTTGTGTGCAAGACGTCTCCCTGATGTCTGGCTCTCACCAGATATCTGTCTGACAAATCAAGATAAATTGGTGGTCATCAGCACCTCCAGTTGTAAAATAATCTTTATATAAGGGCTTTAGAAGTAAAAGTTCTAAGCAGTTTTCTTTGTCTACTCAAAATATAGTCAGATATGATAATACGTTTGTCATTATCAAGGAAGATAAGAAATAAAACTTTCTGAAACATAAAAATTCTGTTACAATCTGAAATCGAATCGAATTGGTGAAGTTAAAACTTTCTAGACTATCTTGTCAGAGGATAAATCGATGAAAACTCAAGTTCGCGGTATACAGGAAAAAACATATTCGAATGAATATCTGAATTCGTTGTCCGATCTTTCATTAACCAGGAAAATTCAAGTGGCACTAAATCTTCACAATTGAGCTGAAAACATTATATGTGAAATCGACGATACGGAGAATGAGACCTCCACTGAAGGACAAATTTTAATTTTGCATCCAAGAGCTTCCTAGTACACTTTTGGTTGCATTTTCCCCAATATTTTCTAGTTACCATGCAGATAGTAGGATGTTTTGTGCCTTTGTTCCAGGTCATCTAGGATGCGTCGAGAGATGTAAGTTTGAATATAGGCATAATATATGTACATGTTTAATCAGATTATGGAGTAAAACAAGTATGAAGGTTTCCCTTACAAGAAAAATGGTCACAAACTAATTGTTCCTGACGTTTTTACAGTCATCGTTTAGAGAATAATTTATGAGAAACTTATACCGTACATAATCTTATCTCATCTAAAATTTCTACTTATGTAGTAATGTATTACTATTATTCCCTCTGATTCGTAGTGGAACAGTAGCCCTACGTCATTTCGCTCTGTTCTATGTTGATGTTTTTAACTGGCTTCACGACTTCCTATAAGCTTTCGTTTCCTTATTTTAACACCGTCCTCTCCATGTCATCTCTGGACCAATGCTCAGCTCATCGTTTTCCATTCCGGTTGCAGTAGATAGCGTGCTTGGCGCGTGATGTGACTAAATGGTCTCCTCAGAGTGTTTATCTGATCCATTTCCATTTCTTTTGTAGAAATCTGTTTGAAATTTATCGGATTTCAGCAATAGTAGTTTACAGTTGGAAGGTTTGTTTATTCTTAAAGGGGTTCAATACATTGATAAGCACGTAGCAAAGACAACAAAACAGTATCCGATCAACAATATAATGACAAATCATACAACATAATCCTGCTTAAGTTTATATGAGACAGTGCTTTCTAGTCACGAGTTTACTTAATGTGAATAGAATTCGTGAAGGAGAAATGAGGCCGTATGCTACATTATTTCACTTTAAATTTCCTAGTAAAAATTATATTCGTAGTACTATTAACCTTTTCTAAATATTTTAATGAAGAGTTTGCATGAAGAAACATACGAAATTAGGTTGAAATAATGAAATGTATGCAATAAGAATAAATTAAAAACTTTTCTTTTAACATTACAGCAAACAATACAGAACAATACTCTGAGTGTAAGTCAAGAAGACAATATGAGGCTGCACTGAATAAATTGGAAATTCAAGGACTTACTAGTTCATCTATGATACATTGCAGACAGTTTTCCCAGAATGTCATTGAGTAGAAAAGACCTGAATTATCCGGGGATGCTTGTTGTATTTAGAACTGATTTCCACTAATCTTTTGATTCCATGCGGAAGTAGAAATTTACATCTGAGTTGTATATGATTTCTTTCGTTGCAACAAAACGAAAGTATATGTGATAAATTCTAAAGGATGTAAAATGGTTCTGAGAGAAGTGCATAATTCGGCTGGTACTGCATTGCATTTGATGTAGAGATGTAGAAAACTTATTCCATATTTAATGCAACCTTATACTTAAGGCTTATTGAGCATCACATAGTGTAGGTGGAGTATATTCCTGACTACTCATAGTTGCGGTGACCAGAAAGTATCATAAAATAATCATAGTAATGAAAGAATATCACTGTTCAACGTTTAACAATTTATCTGAAAGATATTCTATTAATGTCAATAAGAAAACTATGCTAAAACTAAGGAATATACATTGGATCACCGGAAATAGGCATCCTTGTGTGAAGTTTATTATGAAACACGGTGAAGCATAACCTTTTGACAGATTGACCACGAAATCTATAGTCCATTACTGAGACGTGAATGAAGGCTAATATGAAATGAAATAATACAAATGTCAGTATTCACTCATGAAGCGGTTGTTTTACAACATTTCCAAAATACTGCAATGCTCAACTGGGAATTTCCTGAGTCATTCAATGTTGAGGAGTAGAACTGCACACTCTCAGGTTATCAAATAACAGACTGATCGCATGTTGACTAACGATAAATTGTTCATGTAGAAATACCTCAGCTAGTTCTACTTTAATGATGTTCATTTATGCTGTCCGTATTTTGTTTTGGTATAAATTGAGATTACAACTTAGAAATAAAGTTATGGAACCGAACTGCACTTAATATTAATACTGAATCATATAATACAATTTTCTGACTTATAGAAATGTGTAAATAAAAATATGAATACCATTTACAGGCATAAAGAATTGCACAAGTGAGTTCAAATTGAATGAAGATGTTTAATACTTGAATCACAAAATCCTTTTTGCCCCTTGGTTATTGTTTTCTGATAAAAGTTACACATATTAGACTTAAAAATACTAAAATGAACAAATGAAGATGTAACAAGGGGAGAAAATATGCCTGTCGACGAATCACTTTCAAGAGCTGAACAGTCGTATATTTATATTTAACATAGAATTCAATTTCTACAATTTCTTAGAAAATGTAGTAAGTAACGTGAGGTGTAGTTAAGAAGGGGATGACTATATGGGGATTAGAAGATGGATGAGATTCGGAATTACATAATTAGTGTGAAAAAATGACTATTTAGTTTGAATGTACAGAAGTGTTTATTTAAAGTCTATATGAAAAATGTAGCGTTATTAATCAACAGTAATAGTTATGGCAATAATAGAATTTTCAAAATGACAGTGATAAAATAAATCAGCTGTATGAGAAGAATTTATGGTAAGAACGTTACCATCTCCATGATAAGGCCAGCGGGTGTATGTAGTGCTTTCGCTCAATATTGAGGAACTCTGTGTAGCATTGTGAAGCAGTCTTACGGGGTGCTCAGTGTCTAGAGTTAATAAGGTGTTCGCAGAGAGAACACCTGTTGTCCTTCTTTTTGTTGCGGTTGGCCAGGTTGGACAATGATCCAGAATCGGTTCTGTGTACTGCCGATATGCTTTGCTTCACAGGATCAGGTAAACTGATGAACACACACACCGGAAGCGCTATCTAATTCTTAATTCATGACTTGATTAACTTTCTCTTGGAGAATGTGATCCACAAGTTGATTGCTTGGAATGTCTTCGTCAGTCAATATGAAGGGAGGTTTCAAAGAATTTCCGCTAGAGAATCCGTCGATTTCGAGAACACCTTCTGAGTTGTTTTGTTGATAAATATTTCAAGGTTTACAGATAGCGAAAATAATTATGTCGGAGAGAATTAGGATGTATGATAATTAATATAAATTTGAGTTTAATTTATGTATTTATACTTAAAATGTGATGTTGTATCATTTATTAAAGGTGAAAATCTAAATAAAAAGAAGTGTACGTGACTATTTCGATTTATTTTTGAGATGGTACAATTTTTACAATTTTGAAAGTAAATAGCATCATATAACTTAAGTTTTCTGACTACAAATATTCGTGAAGTAATGGCATAATAAATAAAGGATTCAGCAATAACATAATGAATAAGCCCTTGTCGTATTTAGCACAGGCAAAACATGGCTTCGATGACTAACTCATAATAGTCGTTGATAAAAACACGTAGTTACACGTTTTGTTTAATAAATTGCTGTTTAGATTTCAGTGTGGTCACGGCTGAACTTATCAATTGTGTGGTATTTACATATGAAAATACATGATTATTTTACTTAACACACCTATGGTCATGTACACATCAATCTTGAGTGGCACATGCAGTCAGGAAAGATAAAAATCAGGTAGACATAATTTCATTGTTGGCCACGGATTGATATCAGTTAGAGAAGCATATTTACTTTCAGTATCAGGAATATTTGATATGATACCAAGTCTTTTTGTATTTTCAGTTGAAATTATTCCCGGTAATCCGGTATCATCTACATCATGAACCTAGTATAACTGCTAACTTCTTTAAATAATTTCTTTGGAATTGTTAGTTTATGCCAATTTAATCATTTCAATGGGGAAATTTGCCAAACGTAAATACATAATAGAACAATGGTCACTGGGTTTCTGAAGGAACCTTCCTTTCAGTATTGTTTACATTTTATCATCATTATTAATATTCCTTTGAGTTTCGAGTAAAGGACCTGGCTTCCACAGTGCACACCAACTTGTTCTCCAACTCTCCAATCGGTTTTAGTTGTCTTCATGATTACTCTTGGTATTTCATTTTCTCATCAAGCTACTTCATTCATATCACACTCGGATCCGCTCCAAACTAATCGTTTCTCGCACTAGTCCCAGTCGATGGCCTGGTGCTTGATGTTACTCAACAGCCTCCTCAGTTTGTATGCAGTTCACTTCCTCCTATTTATTTACAGGAAGATAGGTCCTTGGTTTGTTGCTTGCCAGAGTTCCTTAATACTTAACCTTTCCAAACTGCCAGCCATCTTATGTTTCCTATCAACAGGAGACAACTGTTGATGAAGTTGTTCAGTAGCATTCTGAAAATACCTTGGGAGACACACATTGAAGAACTGAATTGATATTGGAGTTGGGAATCCGAATCTTGTACTCTATACTGAGGGCAACAGTCTTCCAAACTGACTTCGGTTTAATGAATGTCTATCTTGCTTTTCCGATTACACCTTTGTAATTCTAGCCTTTTGTTATCGAACAAATCTATGTAATAAAAATCCTGTATCATTGTGTATTTCCATAAATAAAAATTATTCTAAGATGGAATTATACTCTGCAACAGTACTTAAATTTTATTCTTACATTCACTTTGTAATCACTCAACATTTTTAAAGGTGAAAACGACTGTAACCTGATTAGTAAGTTGTTTAATATTGGCTAAGTCAACATTATTTTCACAGTCAAAGTCTCGATGCCTGAGTACATTTTACTATTTCTAAGTATTTCTGAGATACTCACTATTATGTTGGTTTATTCTAACTGAGCCCAGTACTTGTTTTCACCCATGCACACCTGTTTAGAAGGAATTTCCGCCTTCAACGATCCAGATGAATGATAATACTGACAGCTTGTTTACTCACATGAATGTCAAAACAGTGAGAATGAAGTTATTTTTGAGGGTATAGACGCATTATCGTGTTTGGAATTTCGTAAGCGATCATGAGGACCTTCCGTTGTGCTGCATCAATACAAGGAAATTGTTCAATTACTTCGTATATGAAAGGTTAAGTAGTGAATTTGGGATATATATTCGGTGGGGGTCAGCAGCTTTGTTTACTACGTGCCTTTCGTTCTATCTGTAACTTGTTAGCTGGGTCTCTTTGCATATGAATGATTATTAGTGTTCTGACTCACTAGGGTCATGACGAGCCTCAATGAGTACGAAACACTCGTTCTGAATTCTACCAATACCCACCAGAAAAAAAGTAATTCTAAATTAGAAATCATGTTGATACATGACATTTGTTCAATTGTTCCAGATAATGATGGTAACAATAAGAATTCATAAGCTGATAATATCAGATCCGTTTTGTGATTTGGAAAAACTATTCATCTGTCGTCATTATGTTAATTTACACTTTGAAAGCTAGATCTTATTTCTTTGAGTTTTGAATCAACAATTTCTAGATAGCTTTTAGAACTTCTTTTACTATTTAAAATTGGCTTAGAAATTTAATGTTCTTAGGTGGCACAGTGGAAGAATGTTCGCCAACCATGTATGTAATCCGGGGTTCGATCTCACACCGACGCACTCCTTAACCTCTCTGAGCCAGTAATAAGACTGGTAAAAATGGAGGATTGGGCATAAGGCTAGCAACCACATGCTGTAAAAATAAACATCACTGCTACCGAAACTTCAAGGCTCTGTCTTGAAGCTCTATGTTTCACTGGGAAAGTAAACGAATAAAAATTTTAAAAATAGAGATTTAGTATAAATTCAGCCATCTGCTATGAATGTATGGTTGGTGGCACCATCAACTCCAAATATCTCGATCTGGTTAGCAAGCGCTATTGGTTGATATGAGTGCTATACAACCGTTCATCTCAACCAAGCAGTAGTATACAGTTTTACACAAATTTGACTACTTTCTTGAATAAAATTTGTCGTATGAAGCAGATCACATACTGCGTGTGATCTGCTTAACTGGGTTTCCAAAAGAAACTGTGATGAATGTTCGCTCTTCAAAGTGTGTACATTGCAAACAACTAACTAGTTTGCAAATTGTGAATTTGAAAGGTAACGAGGTTTAATTAATACAGATTACAGATATCTGGTTAGATTTCTAATTGAACTGTGATGAAGGAATGATTTTCATTTCAATAATTATGCTTTTCTAAACTGTCCACGTAGATTTGCAAGTAGTTCATCATGTTGGACTGCTTGATTAACGTAAATTTTCATTTAGGGATGACTGATTAATCTACTACTGTACAATATTGTAATTTTATTTTTAGCTCATAATGGCTACATGTGTAAGTTATGTCTAAATCAATAGTTAATGCATGCCATGTGGAATTTTCGTACATATTTAGGCCACTAGTTTACTCACTGTTTTCACTCGGTCGTTGTAATATCTAATATACTTATGATTAACCAAAATTACTTATAAATAAGCCCCATCCAGGCATTAATGAAAGGAAAAAATGAGTTCAATGAAGATCCTCTCCGCTGAACTAATTTTTCCCTTTCCATTAAATGAAATTTAATGGAAGTGAAAGGAACCATAAGCTGGTTAATTATTCATCGGGGCATCCTTGTTAGTATTACATTGCGAATGATTGACAAATACTTTGTCTAAATGTTTACTTTGACTGAAAGTAGAGAACACTCAAGGAGAAAAAATGAACTGAAAATTTCTGTCAACATGGATAGCTAAAACGTTTAATGGGTACTGTTTCCCTGGTAATCAAAGATATATGAATCTAAGAATTCATGGCGGCAATCATTATAGATGAAGAAATTGTAGTCACATTGTCTTAGTGCAGTGCTAATTACACAGATCACAAAGACATTTTCATGTTGTATACTTAGACGACTGATCAACGTTTTCATGTTTAAATGAACTTGTGAGATAGAAGACATTTTAGTAGAGATTCAGCAAAACATGTAGATTCACTGTACAACAAAGTATCAGCTTTTGAGGAAGTATTTTCGCTGTTGTGATGATTTGTTTACTGGTCTCCACTGCAGTTGAAAGACATTTATTCCCCTGTAGTAAATTCTAAAAGAACTATCCGCTGTATATTTTGGATGACTATCATCGTAGTCAATTATTTCAGGTGTAACTTTCAGAGCGAACATTTGACGTTTGGTCGACATCCTGTTAGTGATTGACTAGAAGACCTAAGTGCATTCGAAGGAATTGGAAAACATATCAGCGATTCTTCCACACTTCATAGAGAGGGGAAAGAGTATCGCTTCTGATAGAACTAATGTTCTACAGAAACGTTTCGGCTTATATAAGGAAAGACTGACTCATAGGCTATGCATATATTTCCTCACATACAAAATACATATATATATACATTTCTTATTTAAATTCTGATTATTTCCTCGAAGAAGATGACGAGTTTACCAAACAAGACGTTTGAATTATTTATTTTGATTTCGCTGAGATTTCTACACACATTTTTGAAATATATTATTTCGATCAAAAACTTGATCAGAGTTCGTGTAAATTAGGAGATGAAGTCTTTGGAGTTCTCGAACAAATTCGTGACCAGTCTTGTCCTCAAAGAGCAAACATTAACAAAGGAAAATCTTTGTCAAAAAATTTACTGGCTTCAGGCATACAACACAAACTGGTTTTCTGGTAGTGAATTTCTGTTGACAATCCCTAAACTTGACGATATATTTAAATTTTCATATTAGTGTTTTATACTACTTGTTGCCAGTGAAATTATAAGTGGTATTATTCTTGACAATTGAGAATAATTTTAAACATGAGACATTTAATGAAGGAAGAATTAATTGAGAATCCTCGTGTCTATATTATATTACACAAATTCCTAATGAAAAATTTCATTTCTGCTTTCAAGGTAAAACTGTTTGTATTCATGGTAAGCTGAGTACTGTATTCACTTTTTTTAGTAGTTAGATTATGAGACAGAATAGTACTTTATGTGGAAGTTTCATAACCACTCACTGAAGTCAACACTTTCAGTGGTTCGAGTTAAGCATAACTGAAGTGCTTTGAATGCATTAATTGAAAGTGGTTTAATGCTTACTGAGTTTTCAAGTGATTACTGTTTGGTTGTGAATGTAGGCTAAGTAGACACATTCACTACTTATCAATTCCTCGAATATTTTGCAATATAACGAGATGTTTTTCTGGAACACAGATAGAGTATCAACAGTTAACCAGGAGAATTTTAATGACAGTATGTGCAACTTATGTTGAATAGTACTTAAGGCAGTTAGTACTAAATATTTATTAGGCTAAAGTCTGAAGATTGAAGATGTTATATCTAATTATGTCATTCGTGTAATTATTGTGACGACATTGATTAACAAAGAATATTAAAATATTTTAGACGAAGAAGCACCTTTAGTTAGTTGTGAGTTATTATGAAGTTATTATTTATGATAAATTGGTGTTTACCTGAAATGAACTGCATGAGGATTATCAGAGAGTTATTACTCATAATCAACAATGCCTTTCTTGAATCTCACTTGACTTCCCCATAATATACTTATTGGTGTTTGGTCATTTAAGCAACCTATCAGTAGACAATAACGATTTCTTTTCGATATTTGGCTTAGGAAGGAATATCACTTATTAGAAATTCTGATTTTGTGTTGCGATATTTTATTTTCAGGTTTATTTGCCTGCGCCAAAAATAGTAAGAAAGAAAAGTATTAAGTATTGAGCAATTTTTACATGATATCTTACTATAAATGCATATTATTCATAGGCACTGTGACCAAGATTTGACAGAATAGGTCTACAATAATTGGCCGCTGAGTGAGAAGTAGACATTTGTAAAAATTCTATTTATAAAATCTCAGCGAAAGTGAAATGAGTGATTCCAACTTTTCGTTCGGCAAACTGGTCCGAACTTCTTCAGGGAAATTAGTCGAAATTAAAACAACAAAGGTTTATATATAAAAAGGACATCTCTTGGTTTTTAAATCTTTGTCCAGTCATATGAGTCATGAGACAGTTATCATCCGCCGATGACATTAGTTGGTGGTTGCGCTAAATCACGAATTGGTAGAAGTCAGAATTCATAGTTTGGCTTTTGAACCGAGTCCCAGTGGCTGAATGCTATACGAACTTGCCTAATAACCCAAAGGTCCTCAGTTCGAACCCCAGTCAGTGCGTGCCTACTGCCGCTGGTTCCCAAACTAGGATGAGACAGCTGTCCAGTACTCCCTAGTTTTCAATGGTTCTCTAACTGATCCGTGGTCACATTTGAAAAACAAATAAAATCCTTACAGTTCAACCCTTGAAAATATAATAAACGAAATTGTATGAGCTGTTATAAAAATTTGACCTCAGACGTAGAAATATTGGTCTACTTTTGCTAAACACTTTAAACAGAGTGAACGTTTCATCAGAATTTTAGTGATTATGTTCGACTAAAGGTTAATGGTCGTAGATTTTGAATTTAGATTAATTTCCCTGAAGAAGTTCGGACCAGTTTTCAAATGAGACGTCGTAGTTACTCACTTCAATTTCACTGAGATTTTACAAATACAATTTTTGCAATTGTATATGATTGTTTGAAAACGTTAATTCTATATGTAAATGAGAGCATTTTGAATTCAAGCTAATTAATACTTTCGTTAAGTAGCTCAGAGTACTACATCTAACTTATCTAACCTTTTTGATTCCGTATACGACTGGGTATTTGCAGAATACAGTTGCAGGACTTGTTCAAAATAATTAATGCTAAGTAAAAGTGCTCGGTGTTTCATTTTTTAGAATGCTGGCGTCAACCAAGCGCTCTGTACATGTTTGATTTTCAGGTGGTGTACCCATTAGCCTCATTTAGCCAGTAGAAAACCTGGTGAAGAGGGAAGGTTTGGTCAGAGTCTAACAAGCCTACTTTTTGTCTAAAATACCTCTGTTAACAATGGATAACAAGAATTTGTACATACTTTTGAAATAATTTCAGATCCTCCGACTGAAGAATGTGGTAAGTAATGCATTTAATTGAAAAACAGGGTAAATATATACATATTTAAGATTTTCGGTGTTGTTATGTCCAACTGTCATGATGCTTACGTAGCCCAAATTACCATATAAGCCTAAGCGTTTGTGTCAAACATACTTTTGAAGTACTTCAGTTTATTTATCATTATATAATTGACAATTCTGATAGAAATTTCATCAGCAGACATAATATTTAGTGCAAACATGGGATAATGAGATAATTTTATTACTTTTCGAAATGTTTGCAGCAAGTGGAGAAATAAACGATGCACGTTGCGGTAAGCTGCATATTTTGATTAAAACTCTACATAAACATTTTTTGTTTGAATGCTTATTAAGTTTTTATGCCTAAATAGAATGGGTTGTAAAACTATTCACTAAGCTATTAACGTGAGCATTATAAATTGTCAATTTTGAAAGGATATAAACGTGTCAAAGGTTGTTCTTGTATTTCAAGAAACGTTTTCGGGGTTTTCATGGTCATAAAGCAAGTCAGATATCTCCAGGAAATCTATTTACATTCACTCATGGACTGTTTATTGCCAGTAAATTTGCCAAACCTTTTGTTGCTATAAACATTAATGACAGGCACATGTAGAGAATAAGATATAAGGGGACTCGGTTATCTTTTCAAGGATGTTGTAGTACCTCGGCGATTTCGTTTTCAATGCTGTAAAGGCGTGATTTATATACACAGCATTGTCACAGTTACGGTTTATAATAAAAGCGCAAACAGCAAAAAAATTTTCCTGGCCGTGGGTTGGTGGCACAGTGGTTAGGACTCTCGCCGACCGTGCACATGGTCCGAGGTTCGATCACCTGCCAATGCACACCTGGTATCTATGGTCGGCCTGCAAAATTTCGGCTGCCGATATCACATGCTGAAAATTGCATACCTGTACCAAAAATACGATGTGGAATGAAGCTGTAATCAAAAAAATTTCCCATTCTGGTTCACCCAGAAGGCATGGCGAGTGAGGTCGCTCAATGGTCCTCCGTTTCCTTCTATACATAAACTCCGCAGTTGGATATTAGCCGGTTAATCCTTTCTGGCGATCTGATTTTTAGTATCAAGCAGAAGGAGCGTGTGTTAATGAAATGGCACAGCTTGTTAGGTTGTTCGAGTTTTGTAACGCGCGCACTCAGTCTTCGCACCATACAGAAACAGTGACTGACTTGAGATTGGTGTGTTCAAAGTTTGGATCTTGTTCTTTGTCTAGTAAAAGCAAAAGAAATTCTCCCCATCTCAATGTGACCAAACTCACTGATGTTTGTTTTGAAATCGGGTTAACCCTTCTAACACCAACTCGATGAGACAAAGAGCGAGAGAATAGTCTGTAGACTTTACACAAGTTTTTTTGTTTGTTTTTGTTTATCTGTTTACTGAAACAGAAACTTCGTTTATGCTGCTTTAAAACTTCAGAAAACTCAGAATATAGCTCATGTAAGGAAACATTTTAACTATGTTCTTATAACATTTAGATTTAAACGAGATTAATGACAGTCGCTATATGATAAATTTTAACTTAAACATGAGCAGAAGTTTAATTATCTGTTGAAATCAAAGGGTACTGGAAAACAAATCTATTAATTGGGCTGTTTGAAATGTGAAGGATCAGTTGTACTATTCTCAGTAAATAGAAAAACGATATTCAGCAATCCTTGAAATTAATGGCTATCTTTTGAATGATTGTGCCCCTCAGTATACAAATGTAAAATATGTGTGTATTATTCATTGCATCCTGTCATATACACCTAAGGTTGCTTAAGACCTTAAAATGACTAATTTAGGGAGTTATCGCGCAACGGTGTGAGCCCTTTGTCTTTCCCTCTGTTCCGATTGCAGGATTCGTATTGTTTGTTAATACCCCCAATTGCATCACTGGATTACCTCATTTTCCAGTTCATTTCAACAGTATTTATGCAAATTTTCTGCCAAGCATTCTGGCTGTTATTTGAGATAGTAAAAGCTCTCTTATCGACATTCAGTCTTTTCTTTTATTTCTGCTTCCCGGTGGTGTTATTGTTGTTGCTGACATGCGATTAGGACAGGTTAGCCATCGCATTTAGATAGTATTTGCTAACAGTCTGCAAGGTCGTAGCTCTGGTTATAACACAACCAAGTTTGAATTAGAGGTCATTAACTACTAAATACAATGACTTGGATGCAGGAGAATGAAACTAGGCGATTACTTCACTTCTTCTTCTTCTAGTATTCTGAAAATAGTCAATTCTGATTTGGGACAGGTATAAATCCTTTCTCGATCGCTTCAAAGTCAATCTCTTTTTCAGTAGTCATCAGGACACAAATTAAATTTCAGAATCTATTAGGTAACTACAAAGAATAAGAAATTAGAGGCCTTACAGTTCGAGAATGACTCAACTTAGTCTTCCTACTCCCTTCTCAGACTAACAGTAAGATCTCTTCAACCGCATAGATTTATTTAATAAGTATTGTTGTTCTTGTAGACCATTAGGGCACTTGGAGCCGGTTCAATGACTAGCCCATATATCCCAACTTCTGCCAATTCGCAATATTTAGCGCAGCCGCAAGCTTGCAGGTATAATAAATTTAGGCAACATCAGCATGACTGCATTTTTAGGATACCTCACTGCTTACATCGGAATTCCATGTCGATAAAGAAATTTTCAAATGTAATACCATCAAACTAAATGTTGTTTAAATAAATGCATTGAGAGTGAAGGGGACTTTAAATTATTTGGGAAAAAAAGCGTGTCTGAGTATTAACAGTGAAAGTATAACTTCTTGGAATTTGTGGAAAGTAGAGTGTAATAAAACGTTTTTCAGACTTATAATGGTACATGCCTAAAAGTTATAACAAAAATAATCTCAATTACATTTAAGGTAATTTTTTTAAATTGATAATTAAATTTAACTTTAGGTTCACAAGTGTGCTACAAAGAGGACACAGAGTAAGTTGTTCAACAAGATATTACCCTGTGATAGACGAACATGAAAATTAACTTTGATGCGAAGAATGCTGTTCGTTTCTCCTAATTAAAATTAGACTTATCCTTTCGATAATTTAAACGTTTAGTCACGATAAATGGAATGGTCAATGGCAGTGCTGTTTTTCACTTTCCACAAACTGAGTTTGTAAATGTTCACCACTCGAACAAATCGCTCATTCTTTGGGCAGTTATATTCAAATAATAAATATGAAAGTGAATTCATTTAAAACAGGTTTGTATTTAGACTTTATTAATTCCATATATTTTAATTTTTTCACTCTGTCGTCTTTAGCTACCTGGAATCACATCAGTGAATCTTCATCTGCTGACAAATTTGAATGTTTTGATCAACACATAATGACTGTTTCTCTTAATTTATTGACATTCATTTAACAGTAATAGTAATTAACTAACTAACTTATTATTATAATTGCCATTATTATTATTATTACTATTGTTATTATAACTATAACTACTATTATCATTAATTAATAAAATCTAATTATATCCTTGATATTTTCTGTTCGAAGTTGTGGTTCTGAGAATGCTTCAAAATGTAATGTTTATATATTACCATTCAAGGAAAATCTATCAACCAAAGCATCCACCCATTATGCATTTATTCATATTAGGTTCCTAGAATGCTTACGGATTATTAAGCCAAAATTTGGTCACGACCAAATTTAATCAGTTAGGATCTGAACGCAAGAAAGCGATCTCCACTTTCTACTGTATAGCCGACAAAACGTCGTCGGGACACCCGCTATTACTAAACGTTCTACATGAAGGGTAAACAGGATTATTCTTCTATATTTTAGCGGTTCTATTAAAGGAAAACAACATCAAATTCAAAATTACCTCAGTAATGAAGTGAGGGTTCTAGCTATAAAGGCAGTGTAGCTTTCTAAATTCACTAACAAATGCTATAAGAGAAAATTACTTAAACCGAATTCAGCTGTAAAGCGTACCTTTGAATCGATGAGAGTATTCTCAACAAGGTGGAGTGATCAGCTCTCTGTCCAAGGATCACACAACAAGGCTTCCCACAGACACTCTCGGATCAGATGCACCTTCACTCACTCAAACACACCCGTTTCACTAAATAGCCTATTGTGAATCTACACACAATCACAAAGAGAAGTATTACAAATGAAGATTAAACAATGACTAGGGCAAATAATAATATTGGTCAAAATCAGTACGTGATACGCCAGTGTCAGATAAATGCTACATAGCCTACAGGAAGAATGTGTAATAATTCCAAAGTTCATTGAATTGTTTCAGTAATTAAAGATGTTATAAATAGACCGTCCAGGAGATATTTTTCAAACAATTTATCGACTACACATACACTTGATTAATTAATGTCAAAAATATTCATATTTCTACACATCGAATACGAAATCTCCGTCTAACGAAAACGTCTGCATCATGTAGTCGATTTAAGAGATTTTACGGTTTGAAATTATTTAAGAATCACTATAAAGAGGATTGTATTTACATATAAAAATTAAAATATCGGTATTCAACTTACTTGAATTAGATACAGTTCATTGCATTACCAAATGAAAATAACGAAAGAATGGTTTTCAGTCGAATGTCTATGGCGCGTACTATTCATATGATTTATAAGTAGTATATAATTACAGGTGTTTATATGGATGTAATTTGCAAGTACATTAAAAATCAACATATTGTAATCAGAACAAGATGGTTTCGAAAGAGGAATTGTCGTCCATAACTCCTTCGTCAGACTCCACATTTATAAATCTAGGAATAGTAAAAATACAGC